ATATTCTTATGCATGCCAGTGCTGTGTGTGAGGTAAGTTAAGGTGGTTCTGACAAGTGTCGTTGGCATCTTCATATCCAGTCACATGGGCGGCAAACCACTCCCATCTGGTCACATGGGCGGCAAGCCACTCCCACAAAGGAGGCCACACCCACAGAGTAGGTTCGAACAATTTTTGAAACTCACCACTGAAAAGGGCCAATAATTTAGCTCTTCCGTTCAGTATTTACTCTGGCTAGTATGAATATCTGGATATACACATATGTACACACACTCCTTTAATTACATATTAGAGTGTTGCAATTCCTGCAGTAATAAGCCTTTCATGCTAAAATTTAAAAGAAAACAAATCAAAAGTTTGTGATTTAAAAAATGTCAATTATGTCATATAAATCCCAAGTCGATTGAGTTGGTTTTTCCATTTCTGCTGAAACATTTCACTTCATTCTGAATAAAATATATACATCAAATATCTTCCTGAAGAAATCATTTTTGGATTTAGAGTGCCAAAATCATTCCTACTAGAATGTAAAAGTAATTTCCTCAAGGCATGAACTCAGTTTTCCTTCAGTTCATCCAGGTGCTGTAATGTCTGAGCTAATGCATCAGATTAAATAATATTCCCAAGAGAAACTGCCTTCCCACATGGAATTAATAGATTTCTCTGCAAAGAGACCATTCATACACTTACAGCTGGGCAAATGTGTGTTTTTATAGTAGGGAGAAAAGGGAGGAAGGAGGGTTTTATTTCAGTAGGCTTTTGAATTCTAGAGCATGTGGGTATGCATCTATTTATCTTTATTGGGGAGTTTTATTGCTGCTGCTGTTGTTATTTTCATAACCTATTGGTTTTTAGATGTAGATATATGCATTTTGTATTGGTTTGCTCATATACATAGCTCAATCCTATGAAATTGATATAGCTGTGCAGGTACTGTAAGCTAAATAAACCAAAATAAATAAACTTGGTTAGCCACAATTAGTTTAAGCATGAGTTACTCAATTAACTCTGTTTTCTGAATTGGCACAACAAGAATAAATATACACTTGCCATACAGGCTTGGTTTACACTAAGTCTATTGGCTTATGCTTCGGATTCTGACTTTTAGCCTGAACTACGGTATTTTTCCAATACTTAAATGTTTATTTTAAAAGTTACATAGAGGTTTTTCAGATCCTACATGAATGTTACAAGCTTTATCAATTAAAAAAACATGCAACCTCATCAAGCTTCATTGCTCAATAAGTTTACTTCAACTCTTTCTATTTTCTCCTCTATAGATTTCGTTTTGGTTTTTTGTATGCAGTAACAAAGGCTGCTTCTAAAAGCTAAAAGGAAGTGCATATGTGTATCTTCCTCTGCTTTGGGTAAAGGCTTTTTATTAGAAGAAATATGAGAATCTGAAGGGTGAGTCATTCTCTGCCTGGACCACACAGCGTAGAAAGCTCTCCTTGCCACGTTCACTGATAGAACTCACAGAGAGTTGGGAAATAATTTAGGGAAGATTGCAAAGTTTCAGTTTATGGAGAATCTTTCCTCAAGTCTTCCTTAGGTAAAGTAACCCCCTGGCACAGCTGATTTCAAAACAGCTTGAAAGGGAGTTAGATATTGCAGCTTGCCATTTGCTTTGTGGAAACTAATAAAAAATGCACAGAGAGCCTTTAGCTCATTATTAATAACTGCATTTTTAACTTTTCTAAGAAGGCAATTTTTCTATTTGAAATCGGAGACTGTCAGCCTGCATTTTCTTATTTGCAGAAATTCCGTGAATCATAGTCAAAGAGCTATTAGAAATCCATGACAAAGATTTATTTGTTTAATTATTATTTGATGATTATTATCTAATAATAATTATATAAGTAATTCAAGGTGTTTGACAGAGTTAGGGGAAAACACTCCACTCTCTCAGAGTTAGCATTCACTGATCGTGCTAAACTATAATGTGATTTGGTTGCTTGTGGCTTCCACAATACCATCCCAGAATTGTGGTTTATACAATAATCCAACTTCAAGTAAACCATAATTTCACAGGAAGACTGGAACAAGTTATTTAGTTGCAGTTACAACTGATTGACCTGGTTCATCCATTATGTGAAATTCATACATTTTCCTGTGGGCAGAGATTAATGTTTTAAATTTACTATCAGTAATAAAAATAAACTGAACTAGGAGATCAAAGAGAAGTGATGGCTAACCTTTTTCTAAAGGTGTGCCAAAATTGTGTATGCCCACCTACCTGCGCATGCACGCACGACACACACACAACCCCGTGGAGGGCCAGGGGAGGCCACTTTCGCCCTCCCCAGGCTTCAGGAAAGCCTTTGGAGCCTAGGGATGGGGAAAAACAAAATACCAACCAAAGTTGCAGAGGAAAGGACTTCCCACTTATAATTCTTTATTTATTTATTTTTAGTTTGCCAAACCTGTGCCCATTTCCTGTCTTCATGTCCATGTTTATACTTATACCTGTTATCTTGTATGTGTTTGACAAACTAAAAATAAATATAAATAAATAAATGAATGAATAAATAAATGAATGAATGAATAAATAAATAAATAAATAAATAAATAATTCTATGTGGGAACTCCTTTCCTCTGCAACTTTGGTTGGTATTTTGGATATGCAGGGGAGACTGTGATTCTGTTAGCAAACATCAGCAGTTCAAATCTCACCGGCTCAGGGTTGACTCAGCCTTCCATCCTTCCGAGGTGGGTAAAATGAGGACCCAGATTGTTGGGGGCAATATGC